ATTGTACTTGGTGGATACAAAGACAATGTTGACAATCAAGAAGATGAATACTAAACCCTACAGTGAACCAGATATGTGATATAGKTGTATTATAATATGTGATAAGCAACTGTCGCACTATGTTATACATTAACTATACTGCATGCTGAATCAAGGCTACAATTTCTGCATTTTATACCAATCCTAGTTTTTGTAGATTMCATAAGATAAAATCTTGCTTTTGTAATATGTAAAACATTTTGCTATTTGCAATGAACAGCTTSGAGTATCACTTTTGTGCAAGGCTGAAAAATCAGAAAAWATAATTAACAATTGATACTCTATTGTGCTATTGTAAATCACKACAGTGAKCTGTCACGCAATGATCGCTAGTGTGACAGRAATTCTTGTTGTGTGACAACAAGTCCTTAAAAAGTATGAAAATTCCGTTATATTATGCAGAATTTCTACTGTTGATTTACACTAAAAAATTTCATTTTTMGGAACGATTATATGATAATCTCCAAAACGGATTGCATGACGTTTTGCGTGACCCAAATTAAGGACAGTTTCTACATGATATCGTTAGTGTACTTCATTTTATTAAACGACAATATCCAAAAACCCCAATTTTTGGGGTTAGTTACCAAGTGCACAATYATAACGAAAATTGATATGTGACATCAATCTGCTGTGTTGCTAAGCATCAAACTTCAAAATGACATCCTTTACAATTATCTGTAGACAATCTTTTCATCGATATTGCTAATTGTACGCCCTAGACTTAACTAAATAAATTATTTTTTTAGTAATGCRACGATATTTGTTTGTTAGAAATCACGTTTTATTTGATTTATATTGTTTTTTGCCCGTTGAAGCATAGCTCTGATTCTAACGTACTTTTGATGACATTTTGTGGTTCGTTTGTTTCATTTTCCCATTGTTTAAATTTTGAAAAAAAAGTTTATTTAATCAGTTTACGGAACTTAATATGAGTTCACTTACTTCAGTTTGACAATGAAGCTRATTTTTTGAAAAAAAAGAGAAAAAAAATCCTTAGAAAAATGGCGGGAATACTCAAGTTACAAAAATTCAAATAAGCTGATGATACGGTTTGTGTTTACATACTTGTACAGAGGGCTGTTACTAGACAATAGAACTCACCCAACCATACGACATTTTAACTGAATTCACTTAGTTCCGTTGGTCACAGGACGTTTGAAAAGCGTCCAAAGAAAGCTGACCGCTTGAAATGCAACTTTAAGGACTTTCTACTTATTTTTACCCTCTACAAGAAGCTCTTTGGAGCAAAAACGTTTTGTCAAAGTTGGGAACATGGAAAAAGCTTGAATTTCATGGTTGTCAGGTGAGGGCTTTATAGTCGTTTTCTTATGTGTGTATATATGTACAATGTTCTCTTTTGGGTATGTTGTATATATTTAGCTTTACAGATGGTTACTGATTTGATGTATAGTTGGTTGGTGTGGAGTTCGTGGTTGTACCTCTGCTCTGTAGATTTTTTTGGCATAGTCTGATTGTGAGTCTGATTGAGTCAATTTTCTGCGGTCCTCGGCAAGACCACGTGAATGATAAATCCCAACTGCTCTTTCAAAGTGAGTAGGTTATAATAACAAAACTCAAATAACCGTAAAAATCAGTAGAAATGTTCATGAAATCTGTAAAAAATACTTCATAACATAGGTGCTACGTTTAAAATTTTTAAAATACCGAAAAGTACAAAGTATATTTACTCTTGTATGTAAATAAAACGAAATTATTTAGGCTTGTAAACTAATTACGGTCAATTTTKTGATCGCCCTCAGAAAGGGCAAGCAAACTATTACTTTTGACAGAAAAAATTGTTTCTACGATTTCATGTCAAGTTTCCCGCGCTATTATATTATAGCTTTAACAAGAAAGAGRGTCAATTATTGAAGTATTATATTATGAACAATAGGGTTATATAACCTTCGTTTTTGTAAGACTGGAATTCTATAAACGTTCCTTAGTCTTTGTTTTTGACTTAAAAACAAGGATTATCGTTGATTCGTGTATTCAATAAGTACAGACCGTGACGTCTGTCAACGTGCTATCCACTATGCTGTAAGCTACACTTTGATGAAGGCGTTGTCAGTATTTTACGTAAAAACTTTGCATGTGATGTTATGGAGTGATTTACAATATGGGCACAGTGTCCGGCATGATAAAGCAGTTATTTTTACGCAAAACGATTGCGCTAGTCCATGCGTATCCGTAACGTAACTTATCATATAGAGTCAATTTCGTATGAGTGGGAAACGTACGGTAGAAATTACCGCACGGTTACCGCAGAGTTACCGGACCTGACCTGCATAATTTTTGTGAGGCAATGAGACACTAGAATGTGGTTACAGTACGATTACGGTTACAGTACAGTACCGTCCGTATCCCACTCATACGAAATTGACTCTAAGTGAATACGTGTCCGWGATACGTTGTCCATAATCTAGACGTATCCGTAACGTAGCATATAAGTCTCCCTTATATAGATATATCATTGAACCTATATACATGTAACTAGTCAGGATTTCTCTCTGATAGACGTGTTTTAACKTTTTTGTACTGTTTGAAAWCCTGRGAGGCKATGAAAAGCCGCAAWAKATTTTACCYGATTWTATCGGGATAAAAGAGAATGCAACGTCTCTTCAACTACTATTTTTTCCGCACCATCAAACTWACGTGTACTKTTTACTTATATAAATCGTGTCCTCAATCACTACCRTGCTAAACATATTGTGGTTGGGTTATAAGACCTTTGAATTAATGACGATCCATTCATTGTGATGAAATATAGGAGAGTTTGTTACGTTACTAATCCTATTAGCATAGTGAACAGTTCGAATTCCATTCACGTCAGGTTTAAAGYCCTTCCTTTTACAGACATTTAAATCTTAGAATTCCAAAGATGTAAGCAATGAAACTCGATCATTTAGTGGTGTACATGAACGGAACTSTGCTTYATATATCTCWRTTTTATTMGGCTCTTTGTMTRATTAATTTAGCCTTTTTTATCTGCTTTTCCCCTTCCTTTTTTCATTTCGTTTCTTTTTGTTTCTCTTCCATTTTGTTTTCTTCATTCATTTTACATGTAATTCATGCGTTTTCTCATTGTTTTTCTGTAATATCCTTTCATTACTTTTTTTCCCTAAAGTTTAACATATCTCTAATTGTATGTTTATCTTGATGCTGTATTTTTCTTATTCCCGCGTTGCCTTTTCGATACGAGTCTCTATTTAACCATATGAGTTGTATTATTATCTTCTGGTTATGTCSTGTTTATCCATGTATTTTAACATAATGCTTTGCTATTCTCCTTTTTGTCATTGCAATCTCAAGGTCGGTACATTCCTCGGTCCAAACTTCCAGTTATTTTTCCTTATGTAACGCGATACAAGATATTTATCAATATCACCATGGTTAAAGTAGAGTTCAATAATAACAAAACTTTATTGTATGATTTCACATCCGTTAGCTTCAGAATGAAACATGTTCTTGCAATTTTACCGATTTCCTTTGAAGGATCGTCAAAAAAACGATGTAATAGATCTGTAAATCAAATGCATTTAATATTTGTGACGCTATAAGGTAAGCTCGGGTCACGCCGCATTCCGTGGATTGTATAGTAGGTCGATGACGCGCGCACTTTGTGGTATTTTACGACTGTGTTTAGCAGATGATCTGTATTTACTGCTTCTTTATGTAGCCAACGACGACGCTCTTTTTCTGTACCACTCCGCGTAAGGTATTCAATATGGCAAGAACTTTAGGTGAGGGATAGGGAATGAGGAAAATACCTATTTTTTAAACATGAAAATTTTGATTGAAAAAAATTATATACACATCTCTTTGTACGTATTTGCTTTATACGAATSCTCATTCCCTTTATTGCACGAGTAGTGTCATTATATTATCTATTATATTTGATTTATTGGTTATTTGAAGGGAGTTTTAATGRTCTGATTTCGAATATTTCTAGAATAAGGATTTGCTGTAATTAGTAAGGTCAATTACTTTTGAATTTTAGTCGCGTCTGTACCTTTGCCCTGATATTGACATAAATCTTAAGCAATACTTAAAACATGTCTGGTTTCCATGAGCCATTTGTGTTTTATCTCACCATAAACATCCAACMTATGATTACGGATTAATATACGCTTATTTCGTGTCGCGCAGCGGGCGAGGCTCAAACGTAACGGACCACAACATTGGCGCGCAAAACTGACTTTACGGGTATAATATTGCTAATCTAATGCCGTCTAAGTAGAGCACAAGTCCTTACTTCAAATGGTATTTCTTAAAAAGTATATTGTTAGCATTTAGTTATTTGCTTTTAAGTAAATACAATTATTAAACAATTTGTATTTACTTTATGARGTAATTGATACCTTATCAAGAAGTCTTGTTGTGCAAAAGAGCGTTTGACTTTTGGTTTGATGAGTTCAAAAAAAGACTTGATCCGCGCCGGAACTGAAGACAATCGCACGTTTTATCAGGTTTTCGCACCTTGTTCGCACTGTTTTTTCAGTATCCGCAGTAAATTAGGATTCTAATAAGCTTATTAAACTTTTAATATATTGACTAAATATTATTATGATTTTCGCAAATGATTGATCAATGCAGTATTGCAGCCGATATACGTACTTCTTTACTGCATGGAAAATTAACCAAATTTTATTATATTTTATATAAATAGTGTATTTATATATATGTTGAACGACTAAAAATGTTTTTGCACACCCTTCCCACCACACCTATGATAGAATATATTAGTTGTAATAGTTTTCACAAAAAATGATCTGTTTCACGACTAATTTGAATAGATTTCAAATAAAGAAATAGTTTTGACTAATACTGATTGAGATAATAAGTCGAGACAGTAAAGAATAGGAACTCTGGAATCAATCTTAAACAGTTGTGGTATCAAAAACGTGATGAGAAAATAAAGGAAAGGAATAGTGCTTAATTAGAAGGAGGTTATTCCGTGGGAAAGACCCTTGGAAAGTCMGTATCAACAAGATAACTAACTGGCTCTCTTTTGAGAAAAGCGATTTCGAGAATCGAGTAAAAATTTGAAAAAGAATAAGCGATTGCTGAAGATTAAGAGCGATTTTGTGCCTACGAAAAATGATGCTGGAAAAATTTTTTCCGCGCTTTCAAAATTGCAGCTTTACCAATAAACCAATAACAGGAAAACGACTGAATCGATCAAAGCTGCACGGTTTTATCATCCTTTGCGGGTTTCTAAATTAACAATCTGTATGTCTGTTCTGTATTTTTGTGGGTTTGGGCGTGTCTCGTGCAATTTCCCTTGTTTTATACGTGGGTGGATCCATCTTTTGATTGTATCAATAATATTTCCCACAAAGTCTTTAAGGTATMTCGATAGTTTATTTTCGGGGAAAGGTTTGTGGTATGTAGTGTATATGAGATCRAATGGTTGTGTCTGTAGGATCGAGTGTACTTTGTTTGTTATGTGTGATATATATTTGTATGATTTCTTATGTTTTAGTGTGTTTTATGTATGTTTTTATGTTGTTGTCGTGTGTTTTTGTTTATTTTCGGTTGTAMTGATGATAGTTTTATTCATCTMTATAAKAKWWAAAAATGCATAATTTTCATGTTTGTTTTCTRAACAGCATCAAACAAACAAATCGCTATTCACTTTCGATAGTGAGCATGACATGAATTGGTGTCAACTGCTGACCAAAGCYTTTATCCACCAACAATGACTYTCCATGYACATACTGAGGTCACGTGGGTTTCCAGCAACGCTATTGGCTATCTTGCTTTAGTGGTTTCCATATCAACCCTTGTAGTTGGAGCTTTGTGTAAATTTCTCAAGGAACTTTGTCGTAAGTTTCGACGAAAAAGAAAAAAGCGACAGCGCGAATCATCGATGCGGGTTCCTCCTGTTGTCAACATAGGTCGATCTGAATCAACTCGAAGCGATAGGTCTCCTCGACGCGATTACACTGTACAGCGGTCTGACAGCTGTACATCACGAGTATCGTCATTGGTTGARTTCTCAATTCCTAAAACGAGAACCAATGTTCTTCAGCAACCYCTGCCTCAGCTATCGCAGGCTAGGACCTCGTATGCTACTGGGGCGAGTAAAGAAGAAAAGAGGCGTTCGTGAGTATTTTGTTTAATAATAACAATAATAACAATAATAATAATGAGGTATTTATATAGCGCAAATATCCACGAGTTCATAAGCGCTTTACAATAAAATAAAACTTGTAAAAAAGTAAACAATATAACAATAATAATGTCATTGTTTGACGCTAGCAATTTCAGTAAATATTGCATTCTATGGCCGAGCCTAAAATGCAGTTTTGATTATTACAAGTTTTTTTATTAATATTGTTTTGTTTTACAGTCTGGTGGCAATGTATTTCACGGAAGAACAACTAGCCCTCGATAGCATTGAACCCGCTGCGTACAGAGAAGTCGATCATACCGTCACTGTTGGAAAAGACTCATCTCTCGGAGAACTAAACTTCGTCGTGAAGTACTCGGAACGCAGTCGGAAACTCAATGTTGTTCTCGTTTGCGGTCGGGACTTTCCGTCGCGTGACTTTGCTGGAAGCTTAGACACTTGTGTGACAATTGCGTTACTTCCAGATCGTTCTCTAAGGAAACAGACTGCTATTCACCGCCGATCTGTCAATCCGATGTATAATGAGAGTTTTGTGTTTCATATAGCAGCAGATGAGGACGTGTATTCAAGGAGTTTATTATTTGTTACATTTTATTACGATCAGTATTCGCATAGTCACGTGCTTGGTGAGGAACAGGTGCCCTTGGTTGACCTTCCTCTTGGTGACGAGGCTGTCGTACGATGTTTCCTGCAAGAGGCATCAGTAAGTATAGAATNCCGTTTCAAAGAAAACAGCTAAGTGCTGTCATCGTTCCGTTTTAGTTACGTTACGTGCATTCTAATACGTTTCTTCACGCCATAGCGTTATGACATTGTATTACTTTTAATTGCCTTATATACGGTTTACTACGACCTTTTGAAGTCTGACGTAAAAGGGGGCATTGATGAGATACGTTCCCGGATACGTTCTTACGGTTCAGCAAAATTCAGAGTTGCGTACTTACGTAAGTAACATTCCAAACTCTTTCCTGAATTACTTATGCAAAAGTACGTATACACGAACGTCTTGAGCACAGACGTAAATGAAAGCACACAACATCAAGTTWGCTGTGTTAACGTTTGCGTAGCAGCACGCAGTGAAATAGACGTCTGACGGCGTTGCGCTCATTTACGGCTAGTTGACGTTAATTCGTAGAGTTCATAAGACTGTTAATGGACTCTTGTTATGAGTGGCCGGGTCTGTTTGTCTATGTCGTTAGCGTTATTTTAGTTTTCAAATTCTTCAGCTCAGCGTAATACGTAAGGAAAAACGRAACCATCGTTAATACGATACCCCATTCGCTGAACGCAGCCACCAGATGAAGGACGTATCCCTGTGAAATAAATGTTAGTTAAATCCAGTTTGTGTACGTAAGAATGTGTACTGCAGACTACGTAAGATTACGTAGAACGYTTGCGTTAACGTCACACACATGGTCATGCTTACTTACCCCGTCAGTTGGTTTCCAGTGCTTATCATCCTTTGGCTTTGGTAATTTGGTGTATGACTCCTTACCAGCGATATAAGCTGTGCAATGTTAAGGGATGCTGTATGCAGTATTCTGCTTTTAATACGCTTGGAGAAACACAAAACTACTTATGAGAACTACAACTACCACCATGCTTTGCTACAAGGAATGCTACTAATAGTGAATCTTGTGCTACACAATTATAATAGGTAGTTAGTAAGGCTAAGATTTAAGACACTGAATATGTCTACATTGACGTCATATACTTGTTTGTGTTAGGTGGGTCAGGAATAGCTGACTGGCGGATTTTTCCTTAGTAGTGAAACACAGAGAAATCAAGAAGAGGCGCTGTGCGTTTAGCTCAGTCCTTCGTAAAAAGACAATAGTTTTTTTTACAATTGATTGAGCTTTACACACAACGCCTTGTCTTGATTCTTTTGTGTTTGACTACTGAGAAAAAGTTTGCAAAGCGGCTATTCTAAAGGCACATCACCATCCCTTGTATTTTTTTTTTCAAGGATACCCACAAAAAGACAACTACAGCACAGACATGTTAAGACTGTTCTAGTGACACAGATAGGTGTAGTCACTGCAGGTATTGTTGTCCTGATGTAGAAGCTTAATGCTGTCTCAATGATAAAGTACAGACAGAGGACTGAAAAGGCTGATATGGAGGCAATACTGTGGACCTTAAGAATACTGGCCTCATCAACAGCCTGGTAAAGAGATGAAATATTGGTAATAATCATGATAATTTATAAGAAAAACTAACGCAAAGAACCAACGTTTGGATGATTATCTCATTTTACCTTGACAATGATGACAATTTTAATAATCATGATAATTTATAAGAAAAACTAACGCAAAGAACCAACGTTTGGATGATTATCTCATTTTACCTTGACAATGATGACAATTTTAATAATCATGATAATTTATAAGAAAAACTAACGTCGGTTCTTTGCGTTAGTTTTTCTCATAAGTCATCATGATTATTAAAATTGTCATCATTGTCAAGGTAAAATGAGATAATTTACATTAAGTTAGAAGAAAGAATAGTTTTTACTTGAATGACTGGTTATGGACAATGGACTATTGTTTGTTGTTATTCTTTCTAAATTATCTCATTTTACCTTGACAATGATGACAATTTTAATAATCATGATAATTTATAAGAAAAACTAACGCAAAGAACCGACGTTTCGATGACATCTTAATTGTCATCATTGTCAAGGTTAAAATGAGATAATTTGCATTAAGTTAGAAGAAAGAATAGTTTTTACTTGAATGACTGGTCATGGACAATGGACTATTGTTTGTTGTTATTCTTTCTTATAACTTAATGTAAATTATCTCAGTTTACCTTGACAATGATAATTTATGAGAAAAACTAACGCAAAGAACCGACGTTTCGATGACATCTTAATTGTCATCATTGTCAAGGTTAAAATGAGATAATTTGCATTAAGTTAGAAGAAAGAATAGTTTTTACTTGAATGACTGGTCATGGACAATGGACTATTGTTTGTTGTTATTCTTTCTTATAACTTAATGTAAATTATCTCAGTTTACCTTGACAATGATGACAAGATGTCATTGAAACGTCGGTTCTTTGCATTAGTTTTTCTAATAAATTCAATATCAAAAGGTAATCTAATAATGATAATGGTGATAAAAATAATGATAATGATGGTCATAATGATAATGGTGATAATAATAATGATAGTGATGATAATAATAATGATAATGATTTGTGAGTTTTGCTTTGAGAATGACCTATTGTTAAAAAATTAATTTCTGAATGGCTCAAAATCATTGATTACGTACAGGAAAGGTTGCACTCATCAAGAACAAAAAGCTTGTTATAAAACCAATCCAACAGCAGGCTTTATTGAACAAGAGGACCTTGACCCATTGTGACCCATTGTGTGARGATTCAATGACTTTAAACTTGAAGTAAATGATAAATGCAACTGAAATCAATC